TTGTTGGATGGAATGTTCTGTAGATATCTGCCAAGCCCAATTGGTCTAGAGTGTTGTTTTGATCTTGTGTTTCTCTGCTGATTCTTTGCCTAGGTCACCTGTCCAATATTGATAGTGGGGTGTTCAGGTCCCCTGCTATTATGGTATTAGTATCTATTTCCTTCTTTAGGTCTAATAGAGTTTGTTTTATAAATCTGGCTGCTCCAGCATTGGGTGTGTATATATGTATGATTGTTATGTCTTCTTGATGGATCAGTCCTTTTATGTTTATGTAATGGCCCTCATTATCTCTTTTTATGGTTTTTAGTTTAAAGTCTATTTTATTAGATATGAGAATAGCTACTCCAGCTCGTTTTTCATTTCCGTTTGCATGGTAAATCTTTTCCCATCCTTTCACTCTTAGTCTATGTGAGTCTTTATAGGTGAGGTGGTCTCTTGAAGGCAGCATATAGTTGGGTCCTCATTTTTAATCCAGTCAGCCAGTCTGTGTCTTTTGATTGGGAAATTTAAGCCTTTTACATTGATAATTGGTATTGAAAAATGTTGATTTACTCCTGGCATTTTGTTGATTTTTGTTTGGATGTCTTAGGTATCTTTTGTTCCTTTCTTTCTGATTTACTGTTTGTTTTCTGTATTTGCTGGTTCCTTGGATGGTAGATAACTTTTTTTTTTCTCTTCACTCTTGGCATTTTTATTTTACTAGTGGGTTTTGATTTTTCCTGAGCTTTTATGGCAGTGGTAGTTATTTTTCAGGTACCAAACCCAGAACTCCCTTGAGAATTTCTTGTAAGGGTGGTCATGTGGTACTGAACTCCTGCAGTTTTTGTTTGTCTGAGAAATATACTATTTGCCCTTCATTTCGGAAGGATAGCCTTGCTGGGTCGAATATTCTTGGCTGGCAATCTCTGTCCTTTAGTATTTTGAATATATCATCCCATTCCTTTCTGGCTTTTAGGGTTTGTGATGAAAAGTCTGATGTTAGTCTGATTGGGGTTCCCTTATAGGTGATTTGATGCTTCTCTCTTGCAGCTTTTACGATTCTTTCTTTGTCTTTCAATTTTGCCAATTTGACTATAACATGTCTTGGAGAAGACCTTTTTGGGTTGACTCCAGTTGGGGATCTTTGACCTTCCTGAATCTGAAGATCTATGTCTTTTCCTATACATGGAAACTTTTCTGCTACTATTTGTTGAATATGTTTTCAATGCAATCTCCTTTTTCCTCCCCTTCTGGAATACCCATGACTCGGATATTTTAGTGCTTAAGGTTGTCTGATATCTCTCTTAGATTTTCTTTGATGTTTTTAATTCTTTTTGTTTTTCTTTTTTTGTGTGTGCCTGTGTCATTTCAAACAGCCCATCTTCATGGTCAGATATTCTTTCTTCTGCTTCTGCAAGCCTGCTGGTTAAACTCTCTGTTGTGTTTTTAATTTTGTTGAATGAATTCTTCAGCTCAGCAAGCTCTGCCACATTCTTTTTCAGGGCATTGATTTCCTTGTACATTTCTTCTTTCAGGTCCTGTACACTTTTCCTCATTTCATCATGTTGTCTAGCTGAGTTTTCTTGTATCTCATTTAGTTTCCTTGGAATTATCTCTCGAAATTCCTTGTCAGACTTTTCAAGGGCTTCTATTTTTTTTCTTTCTTTCTTTCTTTCTTTTTTTTTGTGACCAGTAAGGGGATCGTAACCCTTGGCTTGGTGTTGTCTGCACCACGCTCATCCAGTGAGCACACTGGCCATCCCCATATAGGATCCGAACCTGTGGCCTCGGCACTCCCAGGGCTGCACTCTCCCGAGTGAGACATGTGGCCGGCCCTCAAGGGCTTCTTGTTCTATAGGATGTAGAGCTTGAGAGTTATTACCCTTTGGTGGTGTACTCTCTTGATTTTTCATATTTCTGTTATCTTTCCTTTGATGTTTAGTCATTGTGGCAAGGGATTTCACGGTCCACTGGTTCAACACTATTGTCTGGCTAGGATGCTGCTGGGGCTGCCAATGTGGCATGGCTGCCTCCGTGTCTACTCGGCCACCAACTGGCGCCTCAGGTGCATGGTCGCCTCGGGTCTTGAGCCTCTCTGGGGAGGCACCTCTCTGGTCAGCGTGCACTTGGCTGGGCTGGGGATCTATCCTATTATGACTTTTATATTTAAGTTAGTTGCTAGACTAGCACTGTTCAATAGAACTTTCTGTGATGATGTAAATGTTACAGATGTGTGCCTTCTAGTGGAGTAGCCATAGGCATCATGTAGCTACTGAGCACTTGAAATATGGTGTGACGGAGTGTTATAACTAAGTGCTGAGCTAACTGGGCTTTCTAAAATGAAATGTATTGAATTCCAATACTAGTTAAGATGCTGAATATATGATTTCAGTTTTGGAAAAGCAATTTCCTTGCTTTCTTTGGAGTCTACCAGGCCTCTTTTTTAATAGACTTTTTTTTTTTTTTGAAAGCTGATTACTATGTAGTGGTTTTTAAATGGTCTTGTAGGATGAGGTTGGATTATGGCAGAATGGTTTGTGGAGACATCTGTAATTAAACTGGAGTATTCAAATCCTGGTTCTGCAGTTGTGGGTCAGCTCTTACAGGGACTGAATGAGTGAGCCCTAGCTGCTGGCCCAGTACAAGGGGTCTCTGGCTGATAGCTGCTAATCTTTCCTGCCCTTCAAGTGGCTCTTTTTGCAATAATGAGGAAGCCAGAGCCCATAGCTGTGGTGGGGTCTCTTGATTTTACTTAAGTGTAATGGGAAGTCCTGGAAAAGGTTTTCAAGGAGGGGAGAGGTGACCTGATTGGGGGGTTGAAAATGCCCTCTGGCAGCCATATGGGTTATAGACAAGGGGATGAGGGCAGAGACCAGGGAGTCCAGTGAGGAGGTGGCTACAGTAATCCAGGTGAGAGAAGCTGGTGGCTCTCGCCAGGGTGGTGGCCATGGGGATGGGGAGAAGTGGTCAGATTCTGGACTCATTTTGAGGGATGTTTCTAAGACTTGGGGATGGATTACATGTGGAGGGTGGGAAAGGAGAAGCCAAGTATCAGCTTTGAGTGTTGGGGCTTGAGCTATGGAGTGGATGTTGGAGCCATAGACTGAGATGGGGATGATTGAGGAGGGGCAGGTTAAGGGGAGGTGAGACTCAAGTATAACTCTGGGCTGCTAGTCTCGAAGGGTGTATGAGCCATCCAACAGGTCATATTGCTGCGGAGGCAGTTGTGTAGGTGGTTCTGGAGCCTGGAGATACAGAACTGGAAGTTATCAGCTTAGATATGAGGAGGGCTGTGCCACTGGATGAGATCACCCTGAGAGAGCATAGAGATAAGGGAGAGAGGAGAAGGGAGGGCTGGATTGCATTTGGAGATGGGGCAGAGGAGACACCTGGAAGGAAGAAGGAAAACGAAGAGTTCTGAGTGACAGAGGCTGAAGAGACCTGTGTTACAGGAAGGCAGTAGGCCCACTGTAACGCAACTGCTGAGAAATCAAGTAAGACAGTAGCAATAGCTGGGATTTGATATGTGCCAGGCATTGTTCCAAGCGTTAGACGTGAATGACCTTATTTTAGCATCACTGCGACCCTTTTAAATAGACATCCCCATCTTGCCAGACAAGGAAACTGAGGCTCATCAAGGGGAAGTCACTTGCCCGAAGTCCCATAGCTAATCAGAGGCAAATCAAGGATTCAAACCCAGAGTCAGTTCTCTGAGCTTCCACCGCAGAGATGTGGCCATTGGATATTGCCACACACTCCCGCATGAGTTCACTCACTCTTTCAGGATGTATTAAGCGGTTGTTCTGGGACAGGTACTGTTCAAAGCATCAGGGATGCAAAATGGAACATCATCTTTATCCTTGTGGAGCTTACTTCTTCGGGAGGGCAAACAGGCAATGGCAAATCAGCAAATAAAGAATTGACTAGCTAGGGGATATTTTTGTGCCATGGCCCAAAGGGGCTACAGATGGGGTATTTACTTAGTTGGGATGGTCCCAGAAGACCTTTATGAGGAGGTGGTCTTTGAGCAAAGATGATAATTATAGTGATAATGGACACTTTGAGAGCACTTACTATTTGTTCAGTGAGTAATAATAGGAATATTATTTGTGTCAGGCCATGTCCTAAATGCTTTAATGCATTTCATCCTTCCTATCACAGAGGTACTCTTATTGCCATCATTTTACAAATGAGACAGAGCCACACAGCCAGGAAATGGGGCCTCCAGGATCTCAGCCCAGGCAATGTGGCCCCGGAGGGTATGCTTTTAATGGCTGTCCTGCATCTTAGTGCGTGAAAGAATGAATATTCAGTTCCTAGAAGGGGAAATCGGGGAACATGGAAGTTGAGGAAACCTGGGCACAGATAGGTTAAATTACATGGTTAGAAAGTGGTGTCAGTGGGACTCGAACATAGACGATCTGCCTCCACGATATGTGCTCTTTACCACTAGACCCGTGCTGCTCAAACTTGAGCATGTGTGGGAACCCCTGGAAGGCTTGTCAAACACAGACTGCTTGGGCCCAGCAGTTGGTGTTGATGCTGCTGGTCCAGGACCCACATTTTGAGAATCACTGCCCTAAACTTCTGTCGGCACATGAAGGAATGAATACCCAGTTCCTAACGGGGGAAACTGAGGCTCAGAGAGGATAAAAGTGTCATGTCCTAATATCACACCATTTAGTTTTGGAGCCTGGATCTCAAACCCAGGCAATTGAACTCCATTCCACTGCACTGTCTCCTGCCGGTCAAAAGAACAGATGCATATACACGGATGAATGAATGGGTCCCCATTTTCCCACAGGGAGAAACCGTTTAGTTTTGGAGCCTGGATCTCAAACCCAGGCAATTGAACTCCATTCCACTGCACTGTCTCCTGCCGGTCAAAGAACAGATGCATATACACGGATGAATGAATGGGTCCCCATTTTCCCACAGGGAGAAACCTAGTTCGGGAAGTTGGGCGGGGCTACCCCAACCTCCCCTAACATCTTTCCCTGCCTCCCTGCTCCTGCCCGCAGGTGAAGCTGGTGTTCGTGGAGGACCAGGCGGTGGTGGAGACCGTGTTCTTCCTGACGTCGCGCACCAGGGCACTGCTGCGACGTTTCCCACGCATACTCCTGGTGGACCGGTTGCCAGGGCTGCAGGGCGCACTGGATCTTCTGGCCGTGCTGTGCGTGGACGGCTCCGGCCACGCGCGCCAGGCTGCGTGCTGTGTTGCACGCCCGGGCACGCCAAGCCTGCTGCGCTTTGCGCTGGCCTCACTGCTGCAAAGCGCACCCGAGGTTAAGGGCCGCGTGCGCTGCCTCACAGCTGGGCCTGAAGTGGCAGCACAGCTGCCTGCGGTGCGCCAGCTGCTGCCTGTCGCTCGCGTGCAGATCTGCCGCGCGCAAGGCCTCGAGACGCTCTTCAGTAAAGCTCAGGAGCTGGGTGGCGCCGGCATTGAGGACCCGGGCCTGTGGCCGCGCCTGTGCCGCCTGGCTGGTGCATCGTCACCCGCCGCCTACGACGAGGCTCTCACGGAACTCTACGCCCACGGCCCGGCCGCCTTTGTAGACTACTTCGAGCGCAACTGGGAGCCCCGCCGCGACATGTGGGTGCGCTTCCGCGCCTTTGAGACAGCTCGCGACCTGGATGCGTGTGCCTTGGTACGCAGCCACCGCCGGCGACTGCTGCGCCGCCTCAGCCCCTCGCGCAGCGTGGCGCAGTGCCTTCGTGACCTAGTGGCTATGCAGTGGGCCGATGCAGCTGGGGAGGCGGTGCCTGAGGGCTCTGAAAGTGGGGGAGCATGGCTGGAGGATGAGCCTGGGAGGGGGGTTCAGGTGGAGAAGGAGAGGGTGAGGGACCCAGAGACCAGTGACTGTGGAGGATCTCTGAAAGAAGGAGGTATTTGGAGGGGGGCCCAGTTGGAGAAGGAGTTGGCAAGAGGACTGGAGACCATAGACTGGGGAAGGGCTCAGTTAGAAAGTGAGAAGGGGAGGGTACTGCAGATCAGAGATTGGAGAGGGGTCCAGGTGGAGAAGCAGAAGGTCAGGGGGCTGGAAGGGAGTGTGTGGAGAGGGTCCCAGTTGGAGAAAGAGCACTTGAGAGGGCCAGAGATCAGAGACTGGAGGGGGGCCCAGCTGGACGGTGAGAAAGATTGCAGCCTGGAAGGTTATGTCTGGCGGGAGGCCCAGCTAGAGGACCCAGGGCTAAGAGAATTAGAAGGGTGTACCTGGAGGGTGGCCCAGTTGGAGGATCGAAGGAGTAGGATGTTGGAGTCCACAGCCAGGAGGGGGACCCAGTTTGAGTGTGAGAAGGCCAGGAGTCTTGAAGGAATCTCCTGGAGGAGGGCCCAGCTGCATGATGAAAGGGCAAGTGGACCAAAGACCAGAGACTGGAAGGGGCCCCAGTCGGAAGCAGAGAAGGGAAGGGGGCTGGAGGTCAGAAACTGGAGGGGGATCCATTTGGAGAAGCCTCTGGAGTTGGTCCCTGAGAACAGAGAACAAAGGGGGCACCAATGGGAAGATGAGAGGAGGACAGGACCAGAGATTGCTGAGGAGAGAGGAGCGAGCTTGGGTATCAAAAGAAGAAGGGGCCTAGAGGACATAGTTCTGGTCCAGCTGGGGGACACAAGGGTTACAGGGGTGGAGAACAGGGATGGAAGGGGAGGCTCCGGGGGCCTCAAGAGCAGAGCAGGACAAGGCATAGAGTGGGGGGACAAAGGGAGGTGTCTAGGGCTGGGGAATGGGGTCAGGTGTGGCACCCCCATGGGGACTGTGTTTGAACGCAATCCAGAATGGGTAGTGACAAGGAGTGAGTACCAGGCTGCAGGGGAGAGCCTGCAGGAAGGAGGTGAAGGAGAAGGCCTAAGGGAACCAAAGAGGCTTTGCCGCCCTTCAGGAGAGGAGGAGGTGGACTGGGAGCCCCTGGCCAAATTCCGAGCAGCCTGTGGGCCAGAGCTGGCAGACCTGGTGGCTGAGGAGCTGGCCTTTGCCAGGCAGCATGGGACCCGGGGTTTCCACTGGACTGGAGCTGGCTTTGCCCTTAAGGACGGCACCTCAGACTTCTTCCTGGATGGGGCTCTGACGCGCTGCAGCTGCTCAATCCATGCCGCCCGACGGCTGCCGTGCCGACACCTCTTCGCAGCGCGCATCCTCACTGGGGCAGCCTTATTCCACATGGATCTTCTCAGGGATTGCTGGGGGAGAGCCCCTGAGCCCTGACCCTTCAGATCCCTGCCCACCATCCTACACTGTGAGGGTGGAAGGGCATTCTTTGATCCCAAAGATAACAGGGCTGAGGCCAAGAAGGCCACCCCAGTCCCTCTGGCCACCTTCTGAATCATCTAGGGACCTCATCTTGGCAGTTTGCCTCTCTAGGTCGGAGAGGAAGCTGACAATGGTCTCTGAGGTCCTGGAGCCACAGCTGTGGAAGGTGTTGATGGCCAGGGTGGATCCTGCAGGCTTCCCTCAGAAGATGAAATGGGTGATGAGAAGTGTAGACAGGGTCAGGGCAGAAGGAAGGAGACAGGCAGAGCTGGGGGGAGGGTGAGGAATGTTGGAGGTCAGGGGAGGACACCAGGATATGGGGAAAGTCTGGTGGGAATAGGCTGGTCAGTCTAGGGAGTGCAGGGATGAAAGGGAAAAAGTTAAGGGAGAAAGTATAATACGAGATGACAAACGAAGGAGAGGTCAAGGGAGAAGAGATAGAGGGGATGCAAATGAAGGAGAGAGGACAAGAGAAGAGCCAGAAGAAAAAACAAAAAGCAGGAGGGGTGGGGGTGGGAAGGGGAGAAGGAGATAATGGAAGAGTGGAAGGAAAAAAAAGACAAGGTAAAGGAAAGATGTGGGAGATAGGGAGAGAAGAAACAAAAGGGAGGTGACTTTGGTGTTTCTCCAAGACCTGGAGACTTGGAGCCCCTTCATCTTCTGGTTGGTTATTCCCATAAAAGAGGGCACTGGGAATCTGGTGGGATGTGTTGGAGACTCTTCAGCAGGGAGGGGAACTATCTGGGCTATTGTGCTTTAAGATTGGAATAAAACAGTATTATTTTGGTTTCTGTGCTGAGTTCTTGGCTTCTGGGGGAAGGTGGGTCACCCAGATCCAGAGGAAAGTTGAGGTGGTCCAGCATTCTTTTATTCCTTTTTCAACAAGGTCTGCTGGGGCCAGATCGAGAAGCCACAATAAATTCATCTCCATGGCATCTCAGGCTTCATCCTCCCTCACCTAGGCCAGAGCACCATGGTGGCGACTTGTCTACATCTATTCTACACTTGAATTAATGACCCACACCAATCGTCCTTGCCAGAGGTTGGTTTATGAATGGGCATTTGATCCAATTCTGGCCAATGTGTCTGCTCAGGTTGGGTTGGGAGGCTTCTAATAAAGGTTCTGATACTCCACAGAAAAAGACCCAGAGGAGATGATCAGGCCTAGACCTACTCATAACCACCCTGGTACACTGTGAGAATGAAGCCCACACTGAGGATGACAGAGCTAAGAGATGGAGAAAATCTGGATACTTGCTTGGCATAGTTGAGTCTCTGGAGTCTGCTCTATCATGGGGCTTCTTCTTAAGTATTTAGGGAAATTTGAGTTGGGGTTTCTGTTGTCACAACTGATGAAGGGGATTTGATTAAATTGTAGGTCACACAATCCAGGTTGAAGTAGCCTAGCACTTTTCAAACTTTAGTTGGCAAATTTTGTTCAGCTATAGAGTTGGATTCAGTAGGTCTGGGCTGGGATCTGAAGTTCTAGCAAATCCTCTGATGATGCAGTTGCTGATAGGTTGTGGAGCATACTGAGTACAACAAAGGAGCTAAGGGTAAAGGACAATTCAGTGGTTCAAGACGTGAGAAGTCAAAGGCTTCACCTGCAGCTGAATCCAGGTGCTTGAACAATGTCAGTTTTTCCCCTCTTTGAGTGATGGCCCTCTCCTTTGACTGAGAATGATAGCTACTGGAAGCTCCTATCCACATGCTCATCTTAATTCCCAAAGACCTTCCTACCAGCATCCACATGTTAAATCTCTTTTTAAATTTTTATTAAAAAAAAATTTAAATCCAAAAAAGATGGCAAGTAAGGGGATCTTAACCCTTGGCTTGCTGGTGTCAGCACCACGCTCAACCAGTGAGCTAACCAGCCATCCCTATGTAGGATCCAAACCCATGGCCTTGGTGTTATCAGCACTGCACTCTCTCGAGGGAGCCACGGGCCGGCCCTCACATGTTAAATCTCAAGGGAAAAAAAACAATTGGACTTACTAAGGGTATCAGGTATCATTAATGTGTTAACCACAATACTTCAGAGGTATATAACAATAAGCATTTATTGCTTATGTGTCTTGGTTTATCTGGGGGTTGGCCAGACCCCTGTTTTTAGTGTGGTCTGGAACAGCATCATCAACATTCCCTGGGAGCTTGTTAGAAATAACAGATTTTCGGGCCGGCCCGGTGGCGCACTGCTACAGTGCGCCGCTTGGGAGTGCGGCGGAGCTCCCGCTGAGGGTTCGGATCCCACATACAGACCAGTTCCCGCTCACTGGCTGAGTGAGGTGCGGGTGCAGCACCGAGGTTTGCGATCCCGTTGCCGGTCCCGGTCCGGTACAGGCGCGACACTGAGGGTTGCGATCTGTTGCGGACACGAAAAAAGACAAAAAGGAAAAAAAAAAAAAAAAAAAAAGGAAATAACAGATTTTCAGACCCCACTCCAGACCTACAGAATCAGAATTTCATTCTAACAAGATCCCCACTATGCACGTTAAAGTTTGAAAAGCAACTAATCATGTAAATCTACTTATCTAAAAAAAAAATGGCAATCTTAGCAAAGCACCTGATCTTGGCCGGGCTTGCTCACATATTTGGTGGAGAGGGTGGGGAGGTCATCTAGCTTTTGGCTGAACTAAAATGACCTTGACTAGGAAAACTGGGTGGGGTGACTCAGCCTTGCTCCACATGTCTCTTGTCCTCTGGTGGGCTAGTCTGCATATATTACCATGGTAATTGCAGAGGTGCAAGAGAGGAAACCTATGCCATGCCTTTGCTTGTATCACTCTGCTAATGTCCCATTGACCAAACCAGACAAGTGGTTAAGTCCAGTGTCAAGGGTCCATGCAAAGGTAAATGTCAAAGGGCATAGGTAAAGGGAGGGATGAAGAGTTGGAGCCTTCATTGCGTTGTCTACCACATAGGGCCACGTGCTGAAGCATGAGCCAATCTCTGTGGCCAAGGAACAGAGAGTACTCTGATCCACTGGTGCTCAAACTTGAGTGGGACTCAAGAAGTTGATCACCCTGGTGTCTTGTTGTATTAGTCAGTGTTCTCCTGTTCTCCGGATATACAAGGTGTTTTAGTCCGTTTTGTGTTGCTATAACAGAAATACCTGAGATGGGGTAATTTATAAAGGAAAGAGGTTTATTTGGCTTACGATTCTGGAACAGCTGCATCTGGCACAGGCCTCAGGCTGCTTCTACTCATGGCGGAAAGTGGCAGGGAGCCAGCGGGTACAAGCAGATCACATGGTGAGAGGAAGCGAGAGAGAGAGAGAGAGAGAGAGAGAGAGAGAGAGAGAGAGGGGAGAGAGGGAGAGGGAGAGGAAGAGAGAGAGAGAGAGAGAGAGAGGGAGAGAGGGAGAGGGAGAGGGAGAGGGAGAGGAGGTGCCAGGGTCTTATATACAACAAGCTCTCGTGGGAACTAATAGAGTGAGAACTCACTCATTACTCCCCCCTCCCCCAGGGAGACCATTAATCCATTCATGAGGGATCTGCCCCCATGACTCAATCAGTTTCCATCACCGCCACATTGGAGATCAAATTTCCACATGAGTTTTGGAGGGGACAACACATCCAAACTCCATCAAAGGGTACTTCAAAAAGTTTGTGGAAAAATAGAAAAGACAATACAAATCTTTCCATGAACTTTTTGAAGACCATACATACACATATATATTTACACACATGTATACATATATATATTGTAGTGAATTGAATTATGTCCTTCCAAACTCACTGAAGCTTGAATTGTATCCCCCACGTTTTCTGTATTAGAAACTTAGCCCCCACTGTGACAGGAAGGTGGAAAATCCTACTATAGTAATTGAAAGGTGGAGCGTTGAAGAGATGATTGGATTGTAGGACCATGCCTAGTGAATGTATTAAAAATGGTGGCCGGGGGTGTGGTTCTGAGGGCTTTAAAAGAAGAGGAGAGTCTGTCTTGTTCTCTCTCTGCTTCCGCCATCTTGCAATGTGAGACCCCTGGGTCACTGTTGCCACCACCAGATGGACTTTGGACTTCCCAGCCTCAGAAACTGTAAGCAATAAATGTCGTTTTTCTTTATAAATCACCCAGTTTCAAGTATTCTCTTATAGCAACACAAATATGGACTGATACATATATACACACAGATATATACATACGTATATTTATTTTAAACCATAGACAAATTAAACTTAATGGTTTAATTGAGCAGGAAAACAGGTTCATAAACTAGGTAGCACTCAGGACCAAAAGCAGTTCAGAAAGCTCCATCCCAGAACGTGTGCAAGCTACATTTATAGACAGAGAAAAGAACATGATGTACAGAAATAGCCTGATTGGCTGCAGTTCAGCATTTGTCTTATTTGGTCATGTTTTGGCAGTTTTCAGCCTGTGATTGGCTGCTATGATTGGCTGAGACTCAGCTACTTGTTACAAGAGTGTGCTCTTAGATTAGGTTATAGTTTGTTTTCATGTTAAGTTAGGTTACAGTTCACTATGTATGAAGGCAGCTTTAGGCCAAATTTAATTCAATTTAATTGTGTGTGTGTGTATTAGTCCATTTTCTGTCACTTATAACTGAATACCCGAAACTGGGTAATTTATAAAGAAATTAATTTCCTATTCTGGCCAGCCACCAAAAAAAGAAAAAAAGAAGAAATTATATGTATATGTAATTCTTACAGTTTTGGAGGCTAGGAAGTCCAAGGTCCAAGGGACATATCTAGTGAGGGCTGCCTTCCTGGTAGCGAATCTACCAAGTTCCGTGGCAATGGAGGGTATCACATGGCTAGAATGGCAAGAGTGCTCTCATGTGCTCTCCTTCCAAAGCCACCCGTCCACACCTCTGACAGCCCATTACTCCATGAAAGGATCAATCTTTATGAGAGCATAGTCCTCACAATCCAATCACCTCTTAAAGGCCCTACCTTTCAATTACCATTGTGACATTACGATATTTATATACAAATATATATTTATATGTTGGTTTTCATCCACAATTCCTGGCTCATGCCCTTTCTCCTGCCCTTCTTTCACCTGCTCCTTTTTCTACAAAAGGCAGGAAATTCTCTGACCTACCTTAGCTGACTGTAGGTCCTAAGACTCCCATTTTGGGGGGGGGCCCTGCCCCATGCCCTGGAGGAAGAAATGCTGAGAGGTCAAGAAAGAACCTGAACAAACAGGCCTTGCTGGGTTTCTCCACCTAGTCTGTTAGTGTTAGAATATACCCTTTATGTCCAATCACATTTCTACATGGTTGTCAAAGTTTGAATCATGTCTACATAATGAAGCTTCCATAAAAACCCAAGAGCACAGGGTTTGGGGAGCTTCTGGATAGCTAAACACAGGAGGTTCATGGAGGGTGGCGCACCAAGGGAGGATACGGAAGCTCTGTGCCCCTTCTCCCATACCTTGTCCTATGCATGTCTTCATCTGTATCCTTTGTGATATTCTGTATAATAAACTGGTAAATGTAAGTATGTGTTTCCCTGAGTTCTGTGAGCAGCTCAAGCAAACTGATCAAACCCAAGGAGGGAGTTATGGGAACCCTGATTTATAGCTGGTTAGTCTGAAGTTCCAGAGGCCTTGACTTGCGACTGGCATCAGAAGGCAGGGGCAGTCCTGGGGATCGAGCCCTCACTGTGTGCCATCTGATGCTATCTCCAGGTAGCGACTATTGGAATTGAATTGGAGAACACCCCACCGGTGTCTGTTGAAGAATTGCTGGCTTGCTTGCCAGTGGGGAGAAATCCTCACGCATTTGGTCATAGAAGTCAGAAGTTGGTTTACTGCGTTGACTGTTG